TATTAGGTGAAGAAAAAGAAAAAAAATTTTTTTTCTTAATAAAACAGATAGAATATTATTACATTTAAAAAAATATACAAATTTTGTTGTGAAAACAACACCTGAAATAAGAAATGAAATTTTTTTATTATCAAAATGCAATAATAATTTACAGTCTGAAAATAAATTATCATGTAAAAATTTTTGTTGATTTCTTTTTTTAATTTTTATTATATAAAACTATTATTTAATATTATTTTTTTTATAGATTCACAATCTGATTCTTCTTGCGATACTTTATCTACATCTTCAAAATTATTATTTCTTAATTCATTACAAAAACTTATTACACGATCATTATCATACAGTCTACTTGATAATTATATTATTAGACTATTATCTATTATCAAAACAAGATACACAAAAATTTAATATATTATTAATTCAATTAACAGTTTTTTGTGAATGGTCTTTAAACTGGGTTAACAAATCTGAAGCAAAAGAACTATTTAAGTTTCTTAATCCTTCACTCAATCTTTCTGATCATTAGATTCTTGGTGGATGAATTTTAAAAGATGCTGTTTCTAAAAGTAATAAAATAATGGAAGAAGCATTTTCTGAAGATCCAGTAAGAGTAACTCTTACATTTTATGATTAGACTAATATAAAAAATGAACAGTTATTAGGTATTATTATTATTATATCAGAAGGAAGACCATATGTTTGGAAAGCAATTGATATTAGTTTAGAAAGAGAAACACATATTGAAGTAATTAAAAAAACAGAAACTATGATTTTGAAATTAAAAAATAAAAAAATTAATGTTTGTACTATTGTAACAAATAGTGCCAGTGCATATGCAGCAGCCAGATATATTTTTAATTTAAATTTACAAAATTTTATAAATTTGATTTTTTATTATTTAATAAAATAAAATTTATCATTTATAAAATTTTAAACGATGATTAAGAATCTCAAATAGAGAAATTATTTTTTTACCCTATTTTGCACATCAACTTAATCTTTATGTAAGTAAAATATTTAAAGAATTAACTGAATTAAAATTATTATTAGATAGTGCTATTCGACTTGCGACTTATTTTAGAAATTCAAACAATAAATTTTTTATTGCAAAGTTACATGAATTACAAAAAAATGTTTATGGTGGTAAACATTATGCAATAATAGCTTCAGAAGAAACCTGATGGAATAGTTATTATGAAGTATATACAAGTCTTTTAAGAATACAAAAAGCTTTACAGGTAAATTGTATAAAAAAATTAATTTATTAATTATAAATAATTTATTTATTAATTTATTTTTATTTTAGTTACTTGCTATTACATACGAACCACCTTTTGATCAAACTTGATGATAAAAATAAGAAAATCTAACTATTACTCATAGTATTTTTGAAATTATTGATTCTAATACATTTTGGAATAATTTAAATATAATTGTAAAAATATTATATTTTTATTATAAATCTTAAATATTTTACAACAAAATAAAAGCCGTTTATTTCAAGTAATACATAGTCTTACATATCTTGTTCAATTTTAAAGTAATGATACTACTACTAGTTTACAACTTTCAACAAGATTATTAATTAGATTAGAAAAAAGATGGAATGATTGGGAACAGCCACTTCTCTTATTATCATGTCTATTACATCCTGAATATTAAATGAAATAATTTAAAGATAGTGTAAAAATTAATTATGCTACTTTTGAAAAATGGTTAATCTATTATTATCAAGCATAGTTTGAAAAGGAACCAATCTGTATTTTACATGAATTTGATAATTTTCGCTTAGAAAAATATCATTTAATTATGATACATATAAATAATTTAATAGTGATATTTGGCAATATTGGTATTTTGCAAAGGTATCTACTAATGAATTAGGCTTAGTTGCCTGTAAAATATTTGGAATTTGTATGAATGCAACCTCTGTTAAACGTCTTTGGAGTTGCATAGGTCTTTTGCAAACAAATCGATGAAATCGTTTAATAGTAAATGTTTATTATTATTTTATATTAAAAATTAATAAATACTAATTTTTTTTTTTAGTCAGTAAAAGCACTTGACATGAGTAAATTAAGAGCAGATATTACATGGAATAATTATTTTAAATCTGATTCTTCTCCAACTCCATTAAACATTACAATTGACACTTATAGTACTAAACATTCTGATATAAATAATAATGAAAATGATAAAGAAACTAAAAATTTTGAAAATCTTTCTTCAAAAGAAGAATTAAAAGAGGAAGATTTATCTAATTTAAAAGAGGAATCAGATCATTTAAAAGAATTTGGTAAATATTTAGAAAGATAGGCGGAGATACTAGAAGAAGAAAATTTTAATGATTTTGATATGCAATTTGAGAATGAAGAAGAATCTATAACAATTAATGATTTTATTCATCCTGCAATTGATCCTAATACGAAATAGAATTTAAAATCACTTTTTAAAAAATTAGAAGTTTCTTTTAAATAATGTTTTTAAATTTATTATTTGATGATTTTTTTTTTGTGAAAATCAAAGGTTTTCATTTTAAATATCATGTTAAAAAAAAAAATAAATAAAAATAAATTGATAATATAATAAATTTATCAAAATCTCTGTAACTTTAAAGAATTTAAATTAATAAACAGTTAAAATTTTGATTTATATATTTGATATAGATTAAAGGTGCAGTAATGCAGTGATGTTACTTTTAACAAAAAAAATATTGAATAAAGCATAAAATTCAATGTAGATCAATACTATATACAAAAAATTACCAATATGTATTTAAATCCCTTTTTGATTTTATTTTAAGGTTAAACAAAAGTATAATCCTTAGATCATTTGCAAATCCCAGATCCTGTGACCTCAAACATTAATAAGTAAATGCAAAGGGATGTATTGACTAACTAGTCAGAAGACATAGGTATATGTAAAGTCATCGACAGTCGCTTGTAGTTTCCAGAATATACAAATGATCTTTAAATAACACAATTGTTCTAATTTTATAAATCAAAAAGCAAGATAACAAACATAACATACAGGCAAATCTAAAAAAAATAAGTTTATTATTAATCACTTTTCCAATAAACCAGATTTTTTTTTTTAAAAAAAAAAATATTCTAAAGACTTACCTCTGAAACTAAGATTTAAAGAATCCAAAAGCTATAAGAAGAAAATAACTGTATTTAGTATTTTTTTTTTAAAAAAAAAAAATTTCTTTTATAGGACTTACCTTCAATGATTTAAGGATTAGAATAGCTATAAGAAGATAAGTAATTGTAGTCCGTTTGATTTTTTCTTAAAAAAAAAATTAATAAAATTTTGTTGTAGAACTTACCTCTAGACAGATCTAAAGCTTGAAGGGTCGTTATAATAAAGAATAGCTACAAGAAGGTAAGCATAGTTTGTAGCTAAATTTTTTTTTCTTAAAAAAAAAAAATTAATAAAATTTTTTTTGTAGGACTTACCTCCGAATGGATCCAAGGCTTGAAAGATTGCTACATTTATTAGTTGTTAGTTAGTTGTTTGATTTTTTCTTAAAAAAAAAAATTTAATAAAATTTTCATTTGTAAAACTTACCTCAAAATGATTTAAGACTTACGGAATCCAGTTTGCTATCTATTCAAGATTTGAGAAAGCCATTTCATTATATAAATAAGGTAAATAAAATTAATTTTTTATTCTTTATAAATTTATCTTGGATCAAAGTAAATTAGTATTTATTAAATAAAAAAAAAATTTTCTAATAAACTTACCATTTGCATCATAGAAACTCATTTATTCTATAAGGTCTAAAAGACAAATTGGTGAGATCTATTGCAAGACTAACCCATATATGGTTTTATTATACACTGGATATTTCAAAAAAAGAAGTATATACCATTAGCATATTAACGCGCATAAATCTATAGCGCATTTCCTAAATTTGATTAGCTTAATATCACATGATAATTACCATTAATTAGCTAATGAAAATAATTAATTTATCCTAAATGTCCTGGACATAAAAATTTTATGTTCATGTCTATAGGACAGTCTAGGATTAGACAGTTCATATCCATATCCATGTTCTATAACAGAACTGATTATAATTACTATTATCGTTTAAACTTCATTCGTTCCTTTCTCTGACTAAGGTATAAGATCATCAAAATACGTCTCATTATCTCATCATAATCAACATGGTTCTCTGTTTCAGCTGAAGATTTTTCAAGATATTCATTAATCTTAGCCCATTATGCTAAATAATATATATAGTATGTATAAGTCAGAATATATTATATTTAGCCAAAAATGCTATATCGATCATGTGATATGTTTTCCATTGATGGAGATAATTGTATTTACTATAAGGATTGATGCTTTCGATATTTACATTTTCATATTTACAGAAAACTATTTTTCTGGTTTAAGTCTACATTTCTTTTCCATAAACAATCTTTTTTTGTGATTTATAATAACAAAAACAGAAGGCCTTATCACGTAGTTTGTACTTGTTAAAACTATACGTTTAAAGGATCACTATAACTTAGTCCATCTTAACTTAAGTAGCTTATATAATATATATGCTAGATTTTTGTTATTTTTTGTTATTTTTTGTTATTTATTTTTTTCACATTGTTAAATATATTATTCACAACATATCGATATCTATTACCTTTTTTATATAAATATAAACAAATTATTTACCGCTAATGCATAAAATTCATTTAATGATATAAAAAAAATTTTAACGTTAACAAATTATCTGTCAAAAATAAATAATGATAATTCACAATCAACTTTAGAATAAAAATTTTGAAGTTACATTTAATACAAACAATACTCTTATTAAAGTTTATTTTAACTTATAAGTTTATGTGTGTCCTATTTAACACTGTAAGTATTATTGTTAATTATATAGTAATTATAGATAATAAAAATATTACCTTTATCATGCCTTTAATACTTATCTTCATTAAATATATTATTTCTAAAGATACTCAATATATAATATTCACAAAAAAATGAATTATGTAATTGCCAATCCTGAAAAATCATTCCAAATTTTTGAGGAAAAAGATGTTGATAAAACTGATGTTAAGTTTAATGACTCTGATAAGAAGTATGAGATTCTGGATGATGGAGAGTACAGCAATGCAGACATTTTTTCTAATCGCTCAGAAACTCCTATCACTAATACAACTGAAAACAATGATAATCACGAAACACATGACTTTTGCCTTGACGAATTTGCAATGAATTATGCAAAAAAATATGCAACTTCAATGATTACTGAATTTGAAAAAGAAAAAGTACATGTGGATTGGTTTGGATCTGACATTAATATACAATTAGAGGTAGAATCAATTTGGACTTCATCAGTGGATGATAATGAAAACACTGATTATGAGTTAAATGATTTCATTTTAATTGAGATCAGGATGGCGCTCATAAACACGGCTTAAAAGGCACTATTTCTATTAATAAGAGCTGTATACACCTACATTAGTATCTTTTTTGTGACAATAATAAGTATTTTGTTAGTAGAGGTGGTTGTAAACATTATTTCTGAAAGGTTATAAGACGTAATGTGCAAGTTCAGTGCTCTGGCTTAAAAGAATATCTAGTATTTATGGAAAATAAATTTTGTCAAATTTCAAATTGTACAACCCAATCTCGATACGTTTGTTCATCTTGTTTTGAAATTGAAGAATGTTATTTTTTCCAGCGAAAAGGTAGAGGAGCAAAATTTTTTACCTATAATGAGTATCATAAAAATGATACTTTCAAATTACTAGATCTCATTAGTAAATAGGTGCAAGATATAGTAACCAATTCAGACCAATTAACTAAAGATATTTTACTTAAAGAACTTTCGAAAACCATTGTTAATTTTTTTGAAAGAAAGGCAGAAGTTTCAAAAGAATGTAAATTTGATGAATCTCAGGCATCGCTACAAAAAAGACAAGTTTTCAGCTATATAGTAATAAAGATAGCTTTACGATTAAAAAAAGTAAACATTAAAAAATTATGTGATGTAAAATGATATCATAATTTAATTATAAAACATCCTAATGAATTTGGAGAAGCGCTTGGATTAGTAATCTGAAGATCTCATTCTGAAATAAAGAAAAAAAAAGGAACTTGAATCACCATTAACATTTGATGAATATCAGAATGGTTTTCCAAATGTAATGCATAAAATCTTTGAAGGATTCTTAATGATTATTAATATAACAAGTGAAAAGTTATAAAAAAAAAACAAAAGCAACGAAAATAAGAATATAAAGAATTTGATAACACACGAGCATGAAACTTATTCAGAAATACGACCTTTACTTGGGCATGGTATACTAATAAAAGTATGTATACAACTTTAATTGCAATTTTTTCTGGCTATGAGATTTTTAAACTTGCAGCAGTTCTCAGAGTTTCTTATTTTGATAAATTAGAAAAGGTAGTAGACTATCCAGCCACTTGTCATGTATTAGAATTAATTTGGGTAGCAGTTAGAATTGTCATTACTCTATATGTTAAAAATAAAAATATAACAATACAAGATATTTTTTATGGACAAAATAATGTTTTAAAAGTCTGGTATCTTTATTTTTACTAGATAGGATTTTGGATTGAACATAAACTGGGAATTAGGTTCAGTAACCATGATATACAAATAAAAAATTTGGTAGCATTTATGCCACTTTTTCTAATTGTTAGAAGAAGCAATTATGCTCAATCTACATTCACTTTCTTTCTTATGTTAAAAGTGATGGTAGTTTAAAAATGCTTTTAAATCACGTATGTTCAGTTAATTTGACTTGTTCTGAATATTTTTTCGTATTTAACGAAACACTTGAATCTTTTAAAGTAAAATATATTAAACAAAATATTGGAAGGGTTTTAGGAAATTAAGAAAATTTAAAATCAAGAATTTTTCTATTCAATCTGAACAAGAAAAATTAACTTATTGTTAAGCGAATATGTTGGTGATACACTTCTCATACAAAATGATCATATATGAAATCAAGGAAAGAAGCAATGTGAAAATTAGTAGATGAATTATATGCAGCTTTTATTTATCAAAATTCATCTGATCATGATTTATTCAAAGCAACTTTGCAAAATAATGAACAGGGGTTTAAAAGACTTTTTAAATGTTATGATATTGGAAAAGAAAGATTACATGACATTTATAAACAAGATATTGAAAAATCAAAAACTAGAATTACAATTGGATGGCGAAAACACAATATAGAAACTAATACTATTGCTTAACAAAAAAAAAAAGCAAGAGAAAAAAATAAAAGTTAATTCTATTGATTCAATTACATATTTAAGAAAATGACAAAAGTTTCAGGAAACTGAGGTAGTAAATAAGCAGTGTCATGGAAATATGCAAGAATGTAAAGTCATGTAAAAAAATTTTTTTTTGAATTTATTAATTTTTACATTAACGTTAAATATTAAATAAAGAATTTTACAAATTGACTTTTCATTCATTTTAAATATTTTTATCAATATAATTATAATTTTTATTAAATTTTAATAAAAACATTTTATTTTTATATAAAATTAATTTTAAATGTTTTGAATACTAAAAATAACTTTAGAAAAGAATTCAATATATATAAAAAAGGTCAAAAATTCAAAAGGTTTTTAAACATCTCTAACATAAAGTTAAATTTTATTACTTACAAAAGGCATTTATAAAAACTATATATAAAAGAGTTTTTTTCAAAAGAATCTTTTAAAGTAAATAAAAGGAGAGTTTAAAGAAAACTTTTGATGATATATTATTAGAGATTGTTGTTTCATTTTTCTTAATACACATATACATAATATACTGTTAATTATCATATCGTAATTATTAAATGCAGATCAGGTGACATTTCGCATGATCGCTATATATTGAACCATTATCCGTAAAAAGCTAATCGCAAGCATAAAGCATAAAGCATTAATAAAGCACTAATAAAAATTAATTAATAAAAATTTTTTAATTTTTAAAATTAATAATCATAAAGCATTAAGGAATATATATTAAAACGTCGGAAAGGTATAAACCATATTTAGATATCGCTCTAACCATAAACTGAAATTCTTGGCTAGTATGATCGTCAAAAAAAGTTCGAAAAAATTGAACTATCTACAAAAAAAGACAAGCTTTTCGGCATTCTTTTCTTTGTGCTAACGTAATTTAACGATCAGCGATCGCGACACATGTGGCTTAGTAATATAAAATCAGAACTTTTTTTACCAAAAAAAAAAGAGAGAAAAAAAATGTTTGGTATTTTAAAGGTATAGATTTTTTTCTCCTTTTTAATTATTCTCGATTTTTCTTTATAATAAATGACCTTACATATATATATAAAATTATAGCACACAAAATTCGCCAGATCACATATAAGTACTTCAAATTTATTCAACTATCAAACTCGTCAATTTTCTCAGGTAAACTAAAAAAAAAAGGAATATTTACAACAATCTCACCTACATAATTTTAAAATTAAAAATTTCTTCTCAAGTCATTTATTGTATTAAGCAGGTTTTCCGATTTAGCTAAAAAAGTCAAAGAATCATACCCAATTTCCGAAATAACACCACAAGAGCTTCACACCTCACTTACTTCCTCTTCTAATTTATCCACAACACCTTCATCACAACCTCCAATCATTATTGATATTCGAGAAAAAGATGAACAATTAAGAGGGATCATACCATCAGCCATTCCTTTACCACGTGGTGTGTTGGAAAGAGATGTCGAAAGAAAGGTGATAAGCGTTGAAGAAGTTAATGATTTAGAAAATGGAAGAGATATTATTGTCTATTGCGCTGGTGGTTTAAGAAGGTAATGAGGGGATGCTCTTTTTTTATTTTTTTTTGAATGATTAAAATAGGGGTATTTACTAATTATTATTTATTTTGATTTATTTAGTGTTATGGCAGCAGAAAGTTTACTTAGATTAGGATATAAAAAAGAAAATGTCAAAAGTTTAGCAGGTGGATATGATGATTGGAAAGAAAGTGGATTTGAGGTTGCAGATTATGAAACTTCAAAAAAAAGTGCAAGCTAAACAATATTAGGAGTTAAAATAAATCAAAGATATCAATGAATTTGATATTTTTTTTTTTTTTTTTGTTGTAATTGAAATATATATAAATAAATATATATATACATTATGTGATTTTTTTTTTTTTTTTTTTTTTTTTTTTTTTTATTATTATAAGTAATAAAAGTAATGGAAATTGAATAATTTTATTTATTTCATGTTAATTTTATTTGTTAAAATCAGGAAATATAATCGTATCAACGTAAACATCACATCAAAGAATAAAAGAAATAAATAAAAAAAAATTATTTAGTAGATCTTGAGAAGTTCAACCACACTATTTGATTAGAAAAAAAAGAGAGAAAAAAAAAGAATTTAGAATTTAATATTTAAACTTTGACAACCATAATAAATAAGCTTAGATATCATCTGCTTCTACTTACAAAACTAGATCTGCATTAGGTGGGATCTAATTAAATAAATAAGAGATTAATTTATAAATTAAAAGAGTAAAGTTCGACGAGATCAATATTATAATGCTTACAATTTTTTTGGTTTTGGGGACATTTAATGGGTAGCCTTCACTACCGTATGCATAATCTGAAGTGATGATGAGTTTAGCTTTTTCTCCAACACTGAGCTGCACTACACCTTCATCCCAACCTATATTGTGACAACCCAAATTAATAATTTAACAATCAAGTTAAATAACTTGTAAGATCTTAGCATACCTTTAATCACATGACCGACACCAATTTTGCACTCGAATCCTTTATTTGCATCAAACTGTTTCCCGTCTGACCTGAAAGTTCCAACATCTTTAATAAAAAATCTAAATTAACGACAAAAAATGGATAAATGAACTATGCCCCAATTGTTATAAATAAACCTACAATCGATTTTGACTTTATCACCCTAAATAAAAAATTGGAATTAAATTTGATTCACGAGGAAATCACAAAGTGTATAATCATAACGTACCTTCTTTGGGTAACTCTTTTTTTCGCAAAAAAAAAGGAAAATAATAAAGAATGGTCATAATAAATTCATTTAAGCGAAATAAAAGCATTCCGTTTAGAAATATCCTTACTTTACCGTCGCCAGGCTGATTATTGAAATTATGAAAAATTATTAATTTTATGTCGAAACAACAAATTTTATTCAGAAATTTATACGAACTTTAATAGTTTCAATATCAACTCCCTAAAAATAGAAAGATGTTATATATATTAATTAAGGTTCTCTTGTAACTCAGGGGAAGAAAAAAATTTATCTTATCATACCATGTTTTGTTTAAGTTTGTAAATCGATATAGAGAATAACAAACCAAGATAATAATAATAAAAAAAAAAAATTATCGAAAATTCTTAATCCGCTTATATAACAAATTTAGTTCTCAGATTATCTTTTCATGG